GACTGTGACCAGGGCTGTAAGCAGGGACACATGTATTACTCAGTAAGCAAGGTAAGCGTGGGCTTGCTTGTGCTTACTTAGGGAAGTTGAATCGTAGGGAATGGCTTCCCATCTGGGGGGGGCGGAACTATACGTTAGTAGAAAGCACAAGGAGGCCCGGGCTTTCCTACCTTACTGGGTACTCGATCCCTGTCAGAGAGTGTACATTGGAAAAGAGGCTTTGACTCAGGAGCATGAGGGGCTGGGAGAGAGATGCACCTGGAAGCAGGATCTTGAACGTGGGAAAACACGACACTGTAGTATCTTGTGCTCTTTGACGCCTACCGAGATCCCACGTGTGTCCCCATGTACTCTGAATCCAGATCTTTCCATCGAGAAAGGTCTGCAAGCCACTCAGCTCAGCTACTGCTTAGAGTTTCCTAGAATCCTAGTCCCATCCGACGCTCTGGGAATGAAGAGTTCTGTGGCCAAGAAATGTTGGAGGAAAGGTGCGTCTGCCTCTCCTGGGGGATCCATACACCACTAGGCAGACTAGCAGGGTAAAAGCTCTGGGGCTGCAGTGGAGAATCCCGCTTACACTTGGTCAACCCAGTGTCAATCCCTATCCATGCACCACAGAAGACCCCTCCGCTCCCACCCTAAGGATCACCCCACCCCGAGGCCTATTCTCATGAAAGGGGAGTCCCCAGGGGGCACCGCGGTTCAGTGCTCAGCTGAGAACTACAAGACGAGAGTGAGGGTCAAGTTCACCAGCTGCTCTGCGGAAGAAAGATGTGGTTTCACGGAGCTTACAGCCCCGGGGACTAGATGGGGCGGTTCTGCTCTGCCCTACAGCGTTGCTGTGGACAGGGATAGACTTGACTGCAATGGGCCTTATTCCCAAGTAGAGAAATACTTGTCTTATTGTAGATTTTCCTTTTGTAAGAGAAGCACTGAGGTCCAGAGAAGGGATGTCGTTCATCCAACGCTACCTACCGCGAGGTCAGTGATGGAAACCGGGCCAGAACTCAGGGTTCTTGCCTCCTAATCAGATACCATTTGTAGGCCTCAGTCCACAAATCAGTTCAGGGCGTGGAGACCGGATTGTTAGTGTCACCTTCTCCTGATCCCCCAAGCCGGTCTCCTGTCCCTGCTGTTCCCCCACCCCTGGACAAGGGCCCAGGGTAACCAGGGAAACAGCTGGCTCTTCTGGGAAGACTGGTGGAAGGGACATGGGGAGCTCTGCTGCACCTGCCTTTTCAAGGGAAGCTACTTCTCCACTTCCCCTGACCTTGTCTGGTCTCCTGTCTGACCCCGCAGGTAGGGCTGGGGTCCTTCACCACCCTGCTGGAGCATCCTTGTCAGTGGTATACTCTCCATACCCTGCCCTTGTCTTTGACCTGTTCCCTGCCTGGCCCCAGGAAAAGCAGGGCTCCCTAGGTGCCAGCCTTAGGGGCTAGACACCAGGAAGGGGCAGTAGGATCTGACTTGGCAGGTCCAAATCCCCCTCACAGCTCCCTTATGGGTGTGTGAGCCTCAGCGGACCCTCCTCACAGGGCTTTCAATAACAAAGCCATTCCCCT